GGCCCCTCCCACCAGCCATGATCTGCCTGCCGGCCCCTCCCACCAGCCATGGATAAAGAAGCAGAGGCGCCCATCGATGACATCACCCAGGTACGTGATGAACATTCTTACCTGCCACAGCGGATTGTTGAGCTGGTGAATGACGACATTCACTTGGTTACTGCGAGCGAAGGCCACAATGGCGTCATTACCGGCGAACGTGCCCGGCTGCGCCAAATTTTCCACTAGAGGAAGAGAGACGGTATGACACTGACGTTGCCGCGTTTCGGCTCAATACGCAGGACTGGAAAAAAAAAAAAAAAATCGAGACTCTTACCGTGTTTGGCAAAGGGGACGTCGTCTTCCACGAAGGGCTCGAAGTCATCGCGGTGTCGGATCATGTAGTCCACGGTCTCCTGGCGGTGTTTGAGGTGGTTCCGCGAGTGACCCTCCAGCTGGTCACCCAGGGCTCGGAATAGGCAGTTCCTGATAAAAGGACAAATATCTGTTTAAATCTGCAGCTCTCATTAAAATGATCCCTGGTGATCCTGCGTTGAAGGTCCTTTTTTAGGCCACTTATAGGGTGACAACGCTCTGGCCTGGTCTCCCAATTGTCCTCCTGTGTTGTCACCCCATCACACGGGCTTCTGATAAGAGACAACAAATGGCTGTTTCAGCACACATTACACAGGCATGGTCCACTGTTGTCAACATCAGGAAACCCGCCATGAGAAATGCAGTGCAGCCATCGCTGAAGTCATATAGACAGGAAGAGACTGCAAAGAGGCTGCAAGTGATCAGCAGCACTGTTATTGAAAACATTGGAAATGTTTATGTCACACAGTGCACAAAGCAAACTAAATGTCAGTGGGTGTACCAAGATGGCCGTCACTAACGGTGCTCTGTCGAAAACTCCCGAGAGGGGACAACGGTCTTCTACATTCTGTTTTAGATGAATGGGAGCACCAAGAGGGCGGAGCCTAAGCTAGTAGAGCAGCTGGGTGTAGTAAGATGGACGGACTAAGCCTCCCTTTAAAGGTACTGACCCGTCACCAGGCACTTCTCTCATCCGGAGCCCCAGGACTTGCAGCTGATTAGTGAAGCTAACAAACTCCTCGGCGTCCCCCGCCTCCCCGGCCCGGTTCTTGCGCTCTTTAGCCAGAGCCCGCCGGGCTGCCCGCTCGTCCCTCTTTCTCTCTATCCCGGCCTTCTTCCCCGGCCGGGGCCGAACACTCTGCTTCCTGGACATGGTACCGAATCCGGCCGCCGGGCAACCTGAGCTACAGAGACCGAGGGACAGCCACTTCCGGTGTTCTGACAGGCCTGCAAGACACGCCCACTTTACCATAAAGACGTGACGGGAGGGTTTCCAGTCACGCCCACTTTACCATAGAGACAGAAAGGTCCGACTCAAGCCACGCTACAACCGGAGAGGGAAAAGGTAAAAGTATGATTTCCATTCGTTTAGTTTTTCAATGATGAGTCCAGAGCCAGAATAGAGAATCTTCCGATGTTCTGTCAGCTTATTTGAAAATCATGAAGCAATCGTTCGTCTTTTGGCGGCCATTTTCTTGAAGCCTAATGCCGGTGTTAGGTTTCTTGAACCTCTAGTGGATGGAGCCGCTTTCTCTGGTTCACTCACTGCGTTCGGCAGTTGTGTTTATTATAAGTTCTTATGTCACAATATTTACTCTGGGCGAATCTGTATGTTTTATTATATAGACCTGCCTCGGTGAATATCCCGTTCTTTAAAGGGGATATGTGGATTTTAAATGGTTTTAATGCTCATTTGGGGATGTTTCTATTTGTTTCCTTGTGTGTGTAAATGTGATTAGTGATAAATAAAGTTGCTCTACACAGCCTGGTCCTCTCCGGATCATCGCTCTACACAGCTTGGTCCTCTCCGGATCATCGCTCTACACAGCTTGGTCCTCTCCGGATCATCGCTCTACACAGCTTGGTCCTCTCCGGATCATCGCACTACGCAGCCCGGTCCTTTCCGGATCATCGCACTACGCAGCCCGGTCCTCTCCGGATCATCGCACTACGCAGCCCGGTCCTCTCCGGATCATCGCACTACGCAGCCCGGTCCTCTCCGGATCATCGCACTACGCAGCCCGGTCCTCTCCGGATCATCGCACTAAGCAGCCCGGTCCTCTCCGGATCATTGCTCTACACAGCTTGGTCCCGTTCCCCACCGCCATCACCATCATTGCACTACACACCCTACCCAGCAGCAGCAGCATCATTGCACTACATGGTCTGGCCCTCCAGCAGTCATTACTCCACACAAGCTGGTTCTGTAAAGACAGGAAGTGATGGGAAATCCCTCAAACATAACACATCTTGGGTGGAGTGGGGAAATAATCAAACTTCTGATAAGCTTTTTTTCGCTCTCTGTAACTTCCTGTTCTGATACAACTTCTCCCTGGAATTATTGATCCTTTCTCTTTCTCAGGCCCCAAGTGATAGCGAAGGTTCTGAGGTGCCATCGAGCCGCTCGGCATGCTAATCTGTTTTCCCTCTATTATTAGCGGACTTTCATCTTTATTTACTACCTTGTTTGCCTAATAGAAAAAACGACTGCCTCAGCAGAACCCATCGCTGTCCTCACTTAATGTCCCCGTGATCGATATTGTCCCTGTGACACGTGTATAAGAAAGGGGGGCGGTTGTCACACTCAGGTGATGTGGGTCCTATTATAGAACTCTATAGTTCTTTCCGTCTCATTGTTGTACTTGGACATTCTTCTATGGCTGCCCCCACACGCTGGCCGCTCGCTGTGACTGCTCAGCAGTACTGTTGGTGGGTTGTTTTTGCTTTGTGTCTGATGTGAAATGGAGAAGCCGTTGTTGAAGGATCTCAGACCTGGATGGTATGTAGCAGTACCTGTTACTGCTACACAGGGCAGCCATCAGAAATTTAGTGGCCCCTTACACGGCTTTAGGCTGGGCCCCCCACCCCCGTGCCGTTGGATGCAGGGCTTAGTGACGTGCTGGACACAGGGCCCACCTGAGAGTGACCCTGCAGAGCCCACCATATATGCTGCACAGCCCATCTGAGACTGTCTATGGTGGGCTCTGAAGGGGGCCTCAGGTGGGCTGATCAGGGCTGCATCCCCCCCCTCCCTCCTTTCCTTCCTTCCTTCCTTCCTAGCTCCTCTTACCTGCACACATGGCCTCGTCTGCCGCCGGACCGGCCAGAAGTGACGTCACTTCCGGCCAGTCCGACATGAGACGAGCAGCGTCGCTGATGGGGCCCTAGCTTGTCTCAAAGCCGCTGGAGCGGCAATGCTGCGCTGCTAGGGCCAGGCCTCCGCCTCCTCGCCCTTCACCGTCGGCCGATAGTCATGTAAGGGACCCGGGCGGGCCCCCCAGGCTGCCTGGGCCCCTTACATGAATATCGGCCGTACCCCCCTGATGGCTGCCCTGCTGCTACATACCAGGTAATACTAGGTAATGGGAATGCAGTATAGACAGCTGGTGATCACTTGGCATTGATCGCATAGCAACAAGGCATTGCTAAATCCCCGCTGTAATATTCAAAAAATAAAATGTCCCTCTCTGCCCATTACTGTGAAGGGTCAGAAGTAGAGGGATCGCAATGTAAATGCTTTTTTTTTTAACCCCTCAGGCCTTGTTCACACCAAGCGCGGAGCAGGTGCAGACCGGATCAAAACTGCGTCCATTGTATTCCAATGGTATTTTTGCTCCAGTTCACATCGCAGCGTTCTGAGCAGGTGAAAAAATTGCAGCAGGCCCTTTTTTACCTGCTCTGGATCTGCGAACGCATAAAAAACGCATGCAAATGCCTGGAATGCACTGAAAGCCCATGTTAAACAAAAAAAAAAAAAAAATTTTTTTAACCAAAAACGGCCCGGAACGCATCAAAAACGCGGCACAACCCACTGCACTGCGTGTGCAGAAACCTGAGCGCATCTGCTCTGCATTTGGTGTGAACAAGGCCTCAGACCTCTGAGTATATGAGAAACGACTCAGCGCGGTGTTCCTTGCCTGCTCGGATGGCGGGTTCTCCAATATGCAGCATTTCACAAGTTTCCAGGAGCGTTGACTAGCGCCCTCCCTATAAACTATGCCTGGCCTATATGACAACCCGGCAGGCAGGTGTCCAAACAAACCCACTTTCCCCCTTGGTCCTGCTCCGCAGACATCCTCCTATCGGGGAAGATGAATATTTTATCGGCGGCCATAAAAACTTCTCCAATATTTGGTTAAAGTTTAACCCGCCGGTGATAAGCGGCAGTCGGTAGCCATCTGGAAACAGTTTCCTTGGCTGCCTGAATTCATCACAACAAGCAGTGAACTCAGAGGAGTTGTGCCAAGCCCAGACATGGGGGATGAAACTGGCCCTCCTGGGGCCACCAAAGGAAATTTGGGGTGCGGTCGCCGTGCAAACACAGAGACTGAAATGGAATTTGGCAAAGCCAGAGAAGAACCCCAAGATGCCCTCCCATCTGCATTGACCTCCCCGCCGGAATCCTCAGGGGGTCAGCAGACCGTCAACGAGGGTTCAGGAGATTTGAAGACTTCTTCGGCCAAGGCGGGGACCCCAATCTGCTGCCTCACCGACATGGACTGTCCCGTCTGTTTCAGCAGATACGATCTCACTCGTCTCCCCAAAGAACTGTCGTGCGGACACAGCTTCTGCGCGGTGTGTCTCAAACTCCTGGTTCGCAATGAAGCGGGCACCTGGCTGATCGCATGCCCCATCTGCCGGGCGCCCACTGCGGTCTTCGGAGGACTTGTATGTACTTTGCAGAACCAGGAGCTACTGATGAGCCAGGTGCAGAACCCCGAGGGGAAAGTCGCGGCTCCCGAAGCCTCCAGAACGCCAGAGATGGCCGTTAGGCTGGACCGCACCGGCGCCACCTGGATCTCGGACGCTGAAAGCAGCGGGGGGCAGTGGACCGCCGCAAAGAGGATGGTGGTCCTGCTTTTGATGCTGCTGATCGTGCTGATCCTCGTCCTGCAGTTCATCTGCACGGGGATAATGAAGTGGATGCTGGGATTTGCTCTGGGGGTGGTCGTTATAATAACTGTCCTGCTGTGTTTCAACCCCTACTGGAAAATGAGATTTCTGGGCGCAGCAAGTCAACGGAAAGAGGAACGGGCCACCTCAACAGCGTGATAGGACTGCGTGTGCCAGACGTGTTCCCAATGTTCTACATTCTTATGACTTGACTTCTAGAACCGGACTGTGTGATGTGTAGCTGGCAGAGTGAACAGGTTCACCTACATGCTTCTCGCATTGCAATGTGTACATTTGGACTGCATACCTTAAACTGTCTCTTCTGAACCCAGATCTCATCTCTGTTCCCTCCATCAGAGTCCCTCTTCTGAACCCAGATCTGTTCCCTCCATCAGAGTCCCTCTTCTGAACCCAGATCTGTTCCCTCCATCAGAGTCCCTCTTCTGAACCCAGGTCTCTTCTCTGTTCCCTCCAGCAGAGTCCCTCTTCTGAACCCAGATCTCTTCTCTGTTCCCTCCAGCAGAGTCCATCTTCTGAAGCCAGATCTCTTCTCTGTTCCCTCCATCAGAGTCCCTCTTCTGAACCCAGATCTCTTCTCTGGTCCCTCTTCTGAACCCAGGTCTCTTCTCTGTTCCCTCCATCAGAGTCCCTCTTCTGAACCCAGATCTCTTCTCTGTTCCCTCCATCAGAGTCCCTCTTCTGAACCCAGATCTCTTCTCTGTTCCCTCCATCAGAGTCCCTTTTCTGAACCCAGATCTCTTCTCTGTTCCCTCCATCAGAGTCCCTCTTCTGAACCCAGATCTCTTCTCTGTTCCATAATGTATGGGTTTTTGCAGTATCTCCTCTTCTTTTTTTTTTTTTTTTACATTTAAAAACCAACTTTTATACATTAAAGTGCCATTATAGACCTCGGATTAAACTAAATCCCAGAGAGAGACGATGGTGAGAATAGCAACAAAATCTTTAACTATGAATTGGGTGTGAGAAGGTCATTTTCGGCCAGTATGGGTGACCAATGGGAGGTATTGTGTAGTTGTGCAAACTACAAGTCCCAGCCGTCTTTGATGCGTACTCTCCCATGGGGGGGAGGGGGGGCACATTTGGAAATGTCTGTTTTATGGTATGAAATGGGCGTGTTGGGCAGATCCAGGATCACTATAAACTCATACACAACGTACAATGAGACGGCGAAGGACGGACGATGCGATTTCACATGGGTTGCTATGGGTTACTGTTTTGTCAGTAGAGATCTGTAGTGTACAGGCTGCTGGAACCTTTATGTTTGTTCTAAATACATTTAATAAACCAATCTTTTTTTTAACAAATTAATTACATGAAAATGTGTCCTGTTTTTATTTTAGGACTTTTACGGTATGTGAATTTAAATAAAATATGAGATGACTGAATTGTGCTTATTGTGAGAGAAAAAAACAAAACATGCCAGCATTAGTCAGGTGTTATGGGGCCCTACAACGAAACCATTAAGAGGGCCCACTGCCTTCCCAATCTCCAGGCAAGAGCTCCAGAGATACAGAATTATAATTATTCATACAAATTCTACAGAGGATCATTCATTCAGTACAATCATTTAATCCAAGGTAACCAGGCAGCTCCGGGCCCCTGTGCTTCCAAGCCCCATAGCAGTTGCACAATCCTCTATGCCAGGACTGGGAAACCTCGGCACTCCAGTTGTTGTGGAACTACAATTCCCAAGAAGCACTACAAGACTCTGACAGCCACGGACATGGCTGCCAGAGGGACAATAGACTTTATAGTTTCAGCAAAGCTGCAGTGCTGAGGTTGCCTTCCCCTGCTCTGGGGCTACAATTGCCACCCCAGGCAGGTGCCTCTCTTGCCTTTTACCTTGGACCGGCTCTGGCTGGGAGTACCGGCCTTGGTGTTGGAGATATCAACGTAGCGTGACGCTCTAGTTCTACCCTTTGCAATAGCCGCCTTCTCTATTCCTGGCTTGATGGGCTCCCTAGTTCTGCAGCTGCAACACCGATCTTCTGCCATAATATGCTGGGCCCTCTAATTCTGCAGTTACCAATCTTCTGCCTTGGCTGCAGGGCTCTGTAGCCCGCCCAGCTCTAGAGACATAACCCTTTTAGGCTGCACTTCCTCAGACTCACCACCACAGAGGTGCCAATGAGCACAATGACCATCTGGATCTCAGCCCTGGGGGTCCTGCGGAAGCTCCTTTGCTGCCTGCAGTCAGAAATTTGGGTGCCGGTTTCCCAGGGAGGTCCGAACTGCCAGTGCATGTGGACGAAGGTCACACACACCAATACATTGCACAGCACATTGACTAGGAAGAAGAAGGAGCTGCAGCATACATGTAGGAGTTGGCGGCATAGGTGGACGTTGATCCCCCAGTCAAAGAAGCACCGGTCCAGGAGTAGTGGCAGTAATTTATGAAAAATTTATAATATAATTTTTTTCTCTCACCTAACTGGTTTGGGGGCAGCATTTTTTGGCGCCCCCCTGGAAAGTGCCGCCCTAGGCAAATGCCTTGTTTGCCTTGCATTAGATACACCCCTGATGAGGCCACCTTTTCTGGGAATTGGTTCATTGTCTGGGACTGCCTCTGCCTGTTCAGCTTAGTCCTCTGGCTTCCTGAATAGGAACGCTTTCCCAGGCGTACCCCTTCAATCCAAATGTGAGCATGGCATTGCCAGAGCCACTTATCTCATGGGAGACAGCAGAGATTGGGGCCCCTATTCTATCTAATGGAGGGGCCCGGATCACCTATAGACCTGAGATTGTCAGCTGTCACCTCATGTGTGTTGGAGTCTTTATTCTACATTGAATACGTGTTTATT